CTGTATCATAACCATAAAAAATTATATGAAACCACATTATATTTAAACAAATATTATAAATATAAAAATTAAATAGAATGTATAAATCACTGGTTATGTAAATGATTAATACTATTAAATTATCATAATGTAACAAATGGAAAAGTGAATAACATCTACAATTGATTAAAACAATAGTAAAGTAAATAATAAAAAAATTTCAAGAAATTGCAAGAAATACAAATCTTGTGATTATACAATATTAAAAAAATTTGCAAAATATTAAAATATAAAATTAACAGAATAAATGTGTATCAATAACTTCATAACCATAAAAAAAATAAATGAAACCACATTATATTTAAACAAATTATTAGTGTAAAAATTAAATAGAATGTAAATAACTGGTTATGTAAATGATTTTTTACTTAGCGTAGTTATTAATATAAAAAAGAATTTAACGTTTATGTTATACATTTGTTAAGTAATTAATCTTTCAAATAGGTATAGTGTATATTATGATTGTTATTTATAACGTTTACCTAATTGTATAATATAATAAAATTGTGTATAATACCTATTGTTTTTAAAATTTCATTTAAAATTATAATATCAGTATTAATAAGTATGCAGAAATTATTATATTAAGAAATTCTGAACACACATAATAATATATTTAGGATTATTATAAAATTAAAAATTATTTTCCTGCCTTGTCTTTAATTTTAAATGGAGTTTGAATAAGAACGTACTTAATAACCTGTTCAATTTCATTAGCTGCGTTATCAGCATTGGCAAATTTTTTGATTGTAAGGACAGAATCTAAAAAATTAATTAATTAATACAAAATCAAAATTACTATAATGTTATTTAAGTTTAACTTACCAAAAATAATTTTATTTACAAGCAATTTCTCAAATGGTCTTTTTTTGTTACCACGACCACTATATGAAAATTCACATAATATTTCTGGTATAAATAATATAGCCATTATTCTTTTTGCCATAATTTTTATTGACTTTCCTCCCACAGATGATAAACGTTTAATCTATGACAATAAAAAAATATAACTTATTTAATAACAGTTCATACACGTATTAAATTCTTAAAAATCTTTACCATCTGACACCGATAATGTTTATTGTTAGACAAATCATTTTCTAATTCTTCCAACTGTTCCTGAGTTTTGATTGGTAATTTATTATCTATATCACCAGTGTCATATATACTCAAATCCTTAGTTTTTGTTAAGTTGTTTTCCTCATCTCGCTGAATCATGATGTCTAATTTTTCCTGCATTGATCTTAATTCGTACTTTATTGTTACCATAAAATTTAATAATTTTGCATACTGATCATCTATTTATAAAAAAAAAAATTAAATAAGATAATAATATATATTGGTTTGCGCCTAATTAGTAACTTTGCTAAAGCGGTATCCCTAGTATTTAATTTTTATGGTGGGTGGGTGAATTGAGAATGCTTAATAATATATATTATAATTAAATCAATCATGATATATAATATATTAACCAATATTTTTGAAGTATAATAATATGTAATATACAATACTAGTATGATTGGAATAATATAATTGAAGGTACCTATACATTATAGTTTGAAATGTGAAGTGTCTATATTTATTATTATTAGTAATAATTACCTTTATGGAGACTTTTTTGTTGTTTTGAGTTTGATGATTTACTTTCAGTAGTTTTGATGATTACACAATTGTCAACTTAAAGCATATTCAAAATTACAAATTAATTTTAACAATCAGTAATAAAGATAGTATACATCCTAATGTATAAAACTTAATTTATTGAAGGCATTATAATTTTAAGTAAGTAGGTATCGTTAAACTACCCTTAAGTTATAACTTATAATGTATTTTCTAATGATATGCATACAGTTGTATTACCTTTTTGAACAGTTTGTTCATTAGATGTAGATGGGCTATTCATGAGATTGTATACCATTGAACAATTGTTATCTAAAAATTAAAATTAAAATTAAAAATAATTTATTGAATACAAAATGTAGTAATAATATGATATAAATGTATTAATTTAAAATATTTACACTTTTTAGATATTAAAAAGTTCTTTACTAGAACTCAGAAAATAGTATATTTTAAACATGCCGATAGGGGTAACGCGGGTATTATAAAATACAATTTTTTTTTTCACGATGATCTTAAGTTTAAGTCGTTTAAGATTACTTGTATTAAAACTTACAGTATGCACATTTTTCTATGAGTATAATATATGTGTTAATATTGTTAAGTAACTATACCCACCACACGTTAAGTTCATGAACGGGCAGCGGACCGTTTTGTGTCCCTTACGCACAGCCGGTTTATGATTGGTTCCCCATAAAATAATTCTACAACTAACCAGCGTGGTGAAGGAGTTCTATTGTTTTATAAACATGTACACGACTCTGTTATCACGCGAGTGTTCTGTATATTATAAAAGTGGGAGTGGTTGCAACAACGAGCGGTACGGTGGACAAAGTTATTTTGAATGTGTGACTGGTCATGATCTTAA